ACGCGACTGTACTGACGTCAAGCAAGGAATGAGAAGTGAAAGCGGTGTTTATAAAATTATGCCATGCTCATCATGCGACGCGTTTCTTGCTTATTGTGACATGGACACTGATGATAAAGCGTGGACAGTAGGTTTCAAATGCAGTTTGCCCTCTAATTCGAGACCACTTAAAGTAGGCTACTGTACCAACTAACAAACTTTAATCCTTTTACATAAAGTTAACCCAATTGGAGACCGAGACCGCACGACGTTTTCAGGTCCAAAAAGTTGTCACAAATTGGATGGCACACTGTTTGTTATTATTAATTTAAATTTTGCTCAAATCACGTAGGCCTATAGTCATTTTGTAAATACCTATTAGTATCCTAGACCTGATTCTCTTCAAGTGATGACCAAAATCGATGCCCACTCTGATGTTTCTTCATGGGTATTGCGTCTTTAAATTGTTTTATACCAAATACATATTATTTGTCATTTGTATAATTTACTGTTAGGCCTATGACCAGTGGTGGCGCTACGGGGAGAAAGGAAGGCGAAGAATTTTCCCCAGCAAATTCCCTCCCACCCAATAATAGGCCTATCAATAGATTTAGTGAAGTTGATGCAAGGCATTTGCTTATCCGGGGTAGAGTGCTTATCACTATCAATACCAGCAATCGTGTTAATTTTCTCTTATCGCTTATCTTAAATTGTATCTCCGGTTTTTCTATGGAAAAACATAATTCCCCCTACGAATTTACCTTGCCCTTGCACTTTCCCCTCCCCATAATTCAGAAGCTGACGCTGCCACTGCCTGTGGCCTATAATTGAAATAATAAAAATCACAATCTTATAGGTATTTCAGCGTCGACAAGATGGCTCTGTAGATTTCAACAAAAACTGGCAAAATTATGCGTCTGGATTTGGTAAGTTAAGCGGCGAGTTTTGGCTTGGAAACAAGAAAATCCACAAAATTACGTCGTCAGCAAAGTATGAATTTCGGATAGATATGGTAGCTACAGATGACAGCGCTTATCACGTCACCTACGAGTCAATTGAGATTGGAAGTGAAGCTGAAAACTTCAGATTGGACATAGGAGAGTACATTGACGATAGGTCAACTATCGGTAAATACCATATTGTCAACTATTATTTTGATTATATTTGATTTATTTGCAATTTAACAAACATAACAAAACCTTACAAATAAAATAATTCATTTTAAGTAGGTTTATCCACGTTTAGCAGTGAAATGACAGTCAGCGGTGGGTCCAGAATATTTCAAGCGGGGGTGGGGGCACCAAATTATCAGAATAGCTGAGTGGGGAGCACTATTAGCACCGAGCATAACAAAGGTGTCGGAGGTCCTATAGTAATATTTTGTATTTGTATTCTATTTGTCTTATTTCGATACAAAGCGAAATAATTGTATGTAACATAAGTTTTTGGAAAGGATTTGTTTGTTTAGTAAACTTTTTTTATAGTTTGCAAATGAATAGAATAGCTCTGTTCTCGAAACACATACTGTGCATGATCAATAATATTATACATATTCAGTGGCGTATCTAGGGTATGCGGAGGGGGGGGGGGGTACACGCCCCTGAATAAAACCCTCACCTAATCATCGAGCCGAGATGGCGTGACCACAGACCCTATATGTATATAGGGTCTGTGGCGTGAACTTTCCGCTTCACCCATCAGCTCCCGATTTCAAAACTCCTACGCCACTGTACATATTTGAACATGACAGAGAACTATAAGGTTATTTCGTTTAATGGATATGTTTTGAATGAAGATATTAGTTGCATTAGAGCATGAAAAAAAACACATTCTTAACTAATCAATCGCCTTGTTATGTTTTACAGCCGAAGGACTTGACTACAGAACCTATTATAATACCAACAACAATGGCATGAGCTTCTCTACAGTTGACCGAGATAACGATAATGCCGACTGGTCCTGCAGTTTTCAGTATAAGAGTGGCTGGTGGTTCAACGCATGTTACATTTCTAATCTTAATGGTCTATATAAATCGGGAATTGTATGGGACCATTTCGGAAGCCGCTATTATTTACGATTCTCGGAAATGAAAATGCGAAGAGTTGTCTGAGGACAAAAAGCGGCGCATTATTATTAGGCTATGCCTTGCCTTTTGTAATATTTGTATTTATATGCTATTATTTGTATGCTTTTGAATCACAAGTTGTGAGCTGTTGGTAGATTACGCTAGTTTACATAGGCCTATCTATGAATAGAGAAAAAGTATATGGATGTGTTGACCATTTGCCCACAAGGACAGAATAAGGCGGAAGCACAGAAACTTTGATTACGTTAATGATATTTCAATTTTCTCAAAACTTTTTCACTTCGGTTTGTTTGGCGACGACAAAACAAAATCGTTTCACAATCTTAAACTTTAAGTTAATAATGAAAGTTTCCAATAAATTATCTTTAAATATCGCCTAAAACGAATTATATTGTATTCAATCCTGGGGCAGCATGCAGGGGTGGGGTGCAGACAGTGATACGCACACCCCTAAATTTTATTACAAAAATTAATTGTTTTGTTTATATGAATTACCGGTAAGATTGTTAAGGTATGAGAGTGCAATTTCTGGGCACCTAGACTGTGGCGTAACTACCGCAATAGGCCCGTATGCACCCATCGAACACTCCCCCCCCCCCCCCCCCCAACAAAAAAAATTACCAAAGAGACACATTTTCCAGGGTAGAAAATTAAAAAATCACGCCTCCCCCACCCTACTAAATTTGTCAAAAATATTAAAAAAGGAAAAGAAATTTATATTCAAATTTAAGTATGAGAATGCCATCTCCAGTCATATGGACGTGCCATAATCAAAAATGTTCTTATAGCTAGCTCAGCCCCAACCATGGTGGGGCTGAGGTGTAGACCCTCAATCCGTGGACGTCCTTCACTTGCCCCCTCTATTTCAAATTCTTGATCCACCACTGACAGCTGACTGGTGAATCTAAGGACACCCAGTCGTCCCGCCCCTCCCCTCAGTTTAAAAAATTTAAAAAAAAATTGGTGAAAAAAGAAAATGTAATTTCCGGTCATGTAGGTGCCAAAATCACAAATTGTCTTCTCTCAGCCTCAACCATGGTGGGGCTGATGGTGGTATTTCCTCCATCTGTGAAAGTCCCTCCCTGGTCCCTCTTCAAATTCCTAGATCCGCCACTGATAACATCGATTAAATAAGACCTAAAATTATCAAAAATGCCTAAGTTCCCCAACCTCGATCACAGCAAGGTTTTTCCGTCTTGACGCCTAGGGGCGTAGGCGAAGGGAGGGGGTGTTGGGGTGGAGTACCGTCGCACCCCCTTCCAAAAAAGAGGCAAAAATTTACGCTGGTGTAGGCCTAAGCCTAAGCCTGCCTAGTATTACATAGTTACCAACCGTCTCGCATCGTGCGGGACGGTCCTGCACATGCGGGATCGTAAATTTGTCACGCATTTAGCACAAGTCTATGCGTGATAACGAATTATCACTAATTCTGGGGAAAAGGTATTTAAACTAGAGGAATTTGTTTTATTAAATGCAGTGACCAGGGGCGACGTCCCCAACGGGGGGCCGATTCCCCCGACAGGGGGTAAGATGTCCCCACGAAAGCAAAGTTGGCGTGGTCGAGCTTCGATTGAAAGGTTTCGGAAGTGTCCAGGAGGCGAAGTCCCAAAAAAATTACACATTTTAGGGGTTTCAAAGGGTTATTTAATCGATTTTAGAGTCATAGGCCTATATTTTTTTTCTCCCCGACGAGTTGTGCTTTATCTCCCCGACGGGGAGGTAAGCAGCTCTCCCCTCCCCGCCGTCTCCCCCGCTGGCGCCACCATGGCAGTGACTAAAATTGTAGTTGTCAGCATTGATCCTATTCATTTTTGTTTGTTTAAAGTAATGAAATGTTTGTGTACATATTTCGGGTGCTCAAATTAAACATACATTGAAACTCAAATTGTACGTGGCTTTAACACTTTTGTTTGTGTACCCGTTATTGTCAACAAACACTCCTTGAAATTGTTTTAACTTCAGGCTCAGATCGTAGGAGCACCAGCACCCCTACCACCCTCCCTTCACTGGTCATTCACGCATTTCAAATCTCTCAGATTGGTAATAGCAATGATAAAAATTGCAGGGCAGCAAGTAGAACTCTATTAGGCCAACAAACGTATAAACCTATGATAATCCTGTCGTAAAACAAAATATATAAAAGCTCATTTTTTATCCCAAATGTGAATAAACACTAAAGTAGTTCGAAATAAATACAGTGTATTCTTTTCCTGCCTTATGCCTTGTTTACATGCCAGGGCTAATGTGCCCTTGTACTCATACGGTCGTCGTGTTTTTTCACTAGGCTACGAATTCGAACAAAATGGTCAGTTCAATAATTAACTACAAAGTTCATTACTGTGCATGCTTATGATTATGAGCAAAAATTGATGATTCTCACTATTGGACGGATTGCATAAAACTTTTTGTGCCAGTGGATTGTGACAATTAAAACGGACACTGGTATCTACAGAGGGAGAAACGTGCAATAAACACTAGACACGTGATCACGCTCTTATTATTATTATTCTTAAACTTCGACAACAAATTTGATAAATGAGATAAAACGCGCTTAATGCGATAAATTTTTGAATCTAGCAAGCACTAGAAAGCAAATATGTTCAGACTTTGGAAGTTGTTGATGATTTTCTTGCTCCTGAGCCCGCTGCTGACTTTCTCTACATCTAGTGGTATGTAGGCCTGATTTCATTGATTTTCAGTAAGGTGTAGACATGATGTAAACAACCCAAAATAATTGAAAATTAACCGTAAAATACAGTACCGGTAGTGTTTGTACCGCAAGTCTCAAACTACCTGGTGGTAGTAGGCCTGATTTTCACATCATTGATATTCATAGTGTTCGTAATCGTACCAGTTAATCTCAAACCATCCTCATTTTCTTTATTTTCTTTAGTATTTTTTTTCTTCAGTTTTTAAAATGGTCAATTTGTAATTGAATTATTTCTTTTTTACAGCCAACAGTAAGTACTTGCTGATAGTTAATTAGTAGTTAACCACTATGCTATTATTATTATTATTATTATTATTATTATTATTATTATTATTATTTTTATTATTATTATTATTATTATTATTATTATTATTATTATTATTATTATTATTATTATTATTATTATTACTATTATTATTATTAGTAGTAGGCCTAATATCATTCTCTTAATTGTGCATAAGTAAAATTTTCTTGGTTAATATTAATATTACTAACATGATTTTCACATTCATCTAAAAGATTATGAAAACGATTTTTATCAACAAAAGGTTGAAAAAAAAATTACCGTGATGAATCTCCTGAATAAATTCAGGGTCGGCGTTTACTTCTTTGCCGGAATCCTATTGCTGTCGACATATGTTATGACCTTGCTCATGAACAATGCGATACATTATTTCTTACTGAAGTTAGCAATAGTACAATCATATCAATCAGTATAATCTATACTCTAATCTTAAGTTGCTGCTCGAAATAGTTCAGTCTTTTTAACAAATCAAGTTTATAGTTATTCAATTATTACAAAATATGTTTCTCGTGTGTGTGCAAAAATTTTTTATATAATAGGCTTTTTATGTTGACTTAATTTCGTTTCATTAAATAGGCTCTTTGTTACTTGATTTTGTTTTATTTATTTCCAGGCACAAAGCATTAAACACAATTGACAAATCCCATGATAATAGTGAATAATGTAAGTTTTATATACAATAATTATAATAAAATAAAGTTGCCTAGTTACTCGCTTTACATGAACAATCTATAAAATTCAACTCATACAGTTTTATACAAACCGACAGTAGAAGAGTACCAGTGGAACGAGTGTATTATCGGATCTTTACACTAGCAAACAAATCGTCGCTCACATCACGAACTAACACAATCAAAGTAGATTGTGTTCAGCGTGACCACTCACAATTTTTGATTTACCCAATGACTGGGTCGAAATTACCCAAGATTCAGCAAAAATTGCCCAAAGTTACCCAAGCTTCCTGAAAATGCATTAAAATTTGAAAAAAAAAACGTGTTTTTCGCATGTATAGTTTCCCTTTTAGTTCAATTTATAAACCATTTTTTATTATAATTGTTTGTGTTAATTATTAAAATTAATATTCATGAGGGATAATACGAAGGGAAAAATACGCCCTCAGTCGGCCAGTGTTATCAGTAGATCAGCGATCAAGTTTTATTATGTAATATTATGTAATGCATTAATTAGGTAAGATCAATGGCAACGCAAATCACAAATTCAACAATTCTGAACCCATGTTTATAGCAATTAACAGTCAATTAACAATGTTATGTGCACTTCGTTGAGTTTTGCTTACTTGAATGGACTGAAATATACTTTGTTACTTCTTAATTCTTCCTCTATTACAAAAGTATTTAATTTTCTTAGTAAAAATAAAATACCCAAGGATTTGAACGGAATACCCAAGAATCCAAGACCAAGTCAAAATACCCAAGATCTTGGGTAAATACCCAAGCAGTGGTCACACTGATTATGTTAGTTCGTGAAATCGAGAAAACGCGTCAAAATACGCGCTGTTGTTGTTAAGATCTTTTTGTGTGGTAAAGAATACAAAATTGCTTGACAACCAATACGCGCTCGTTTTGACGCGCTACTGTGATGAATCTACTTTGATTGTGTTAGTTTGTGATGTTAACGACGAAATGTTCAGACTTTGGAAGTTGTTCTTGATTTTCTTGCTCCTGGGCCCGCTGCTGACTTTCTCTGCATCTGGTGGTATGTAGGCCTGATTTCATTGATTTTCAGTAAGGTGTAGACATGATGTAAACAACCCAAAATAATTGAAAACTAACCGTAAAATACAGTACCTGTGTTAGTGTTTGTACCGCAAGTCTCAAACTACCTGGTGGTAGTAGGCCTGATTTTCACATCATTGATATTCATAGTGTTCGTAATCGTACCAGTTAATCTCAAACCATCCTCATTTTCTTTATTTTCTTTAGTATTTTTTTTCTTCAGTTTTTAAAATGGTCAATTTGTAATTGAATTATTTCTTTTTTACAGCCAACA